CGCAGAGGGCACGCAACCCAACGGAGATTGTTCCTTTCAGCGAGGCGCAACGTTCTTTGTTTTAAAAGTAAACAAACACGAAAATAACCGAGATAAAAAATATAAACGGCGTGCCCCCCCCCCATCCCGTGCTCCGTTCATCTTCCGCAGCTCGTCGCAAGCTCCACCGCCCCCCCCCCCACCCCCCCCACCCCCGCCTCCACTGGGTTCTCATCCACAAACCCCACGTTCACGAATGCGCAGCCTCAAACCTTTCCCGGTGACGAGCGGCACACAGACTGCGCAGCTCCCCCATGTTTAACATGTCGACAAATCCGTCCCTTCGTCGTCATCATCACGTCGGGATTGTGGTCTGGGATGTGACCGAATTGACTAATTTCTTTGTTTGTGATAATCTGTTTTGTTGTTTGTGGTTTTTTATTCTTTTGGTGGCATTTCTTAATTTGTTCATTTACTTATTTTTATTTTGCTAGGTCGCGGGGTTTTCATTTCGTGTGCGTGTTGGGCTTCTTTCGTGCCGTGCGTAGCCAATCGAGTATATGGGATTTTGTCCTTATATGTAATTCATGTACAGCGCTTTGGGATGCTGTTGGCATGAATGAAGCAATATAAAATGAATACATTATTCGCAGCCATGTTCAAGCCACCTCTCGCGATCCTGCGATGTAACAAATACATCAAGGCCCTGCTGCACGAGTCGATTTCGTCGCTCCATCTGACTTGCCGGATGTCCCCTCGGACGTGTTCTGTTCCCCGGCTGCCACTCCGTGACAAGAGTGTGGCACGTTAAACAAATGCCCCTTCATGGGAGCTCTCAATGATGCAGGGCAAAATGCCGCAGATCACGTGGTGAACGTTTGAGAGTGGCAGCCGAGGAATTGGAATGCGTCTGAGAGTGCGTCCACTAAGGAGACTCAACGATGAAATCAGCTCGTGTCTGTAGGTGTCAGGTCGAATGTAAGACAATCATAAATTGGCTGAAAACATCTTAATATTTAGGGCATTGTAGACCTTGGGAAATTGTTTGCACTGTCTCAACCACCGCCTGGCTGCTTAGTTCCCATTTGTCTGTGGTTCCTCACGCCTCCGAGTAATTTTACCTTCTCTTGAGATAGAGGGAGAGCGGCACAGCAAGTAAACACCGTGCCTCTAGCAACATTTCAAAGATTATATTCCTACATCACAGCACCGCAAGAGATTATATTTTATAGCGACAGCTTGGGGAAGGCCTTCATTCAGTTAATCCGGCAGACGATTGACCATGGCCAACGGCTGGTGATCGAGGAGATTTTATTTCTATGACGGGCAAGGGAGTAGGGGAGAGCGGGGAGGGGGAAGGGGTAGGGGAGAGAGGGGGGGGGGCGACTTCTCACGCGTGCCCGCGTTTCCGAGAGCCTTGGCAGAAGACACACTCCGCGGACGACCGCGCAGGGGGAGTTTCTGGGGAAGTGGCCGCATGCACGAGACACGCTTTATGTTGTGATTGAAAGCAGGGCCCGGCTCTTCCGGCTCATCCGGCTCTTTTGCCGGCATGTCGCGCGCGGACTCGCGGGCCACGCCACCGCTGCAGCGTCATCGGCGGCATCGGCGGAGCGGTGGATGTGGATTTTCAACAAAAGTTTGTTTCCTGCGCATAATTAGCCTGGCACTCGGCCAGAAGGCGATCTTTCCTTTTTTTTTGCTCGTTATCGCGGATAAGCATCTGAATGGATTCAAAGCAGGCGCGGCGCACGTGCACATCAAAGCGACGGACGCAACGGGAGCCCCAGCGTTGGTCTGATAATTCAAATAAATAAAAAACAAAGTTGGACAAATTTTCAACAAAGACAAGGCAGACACCGCGAGCCGGGTTTGCGGATATTTCTCTCGGGAGGACACATTCGTAGTAACTACGTAGTAACTACGTAGTTACTACGTAGTAACTACGTAGTAACTACGGTCATTCCCACGTCGGTGCGCACATCGTGCCGAGCGGCACTGCCGCGTGGGTTTCCGCGGTTGCACTGCCGTGCAGCTTTCTGCCGCTGCGCTTTTCGGGTTGCGCCGCACGTCGCTCAGTGCGGGGGCATCAGACGTTTCGCTCCACGTGCCCCGGCAGCGTCTTGACACGCGCGACTCGAAACGAAACGTCGGGCATCGCGGCCCAACAGCGTGCGGTACAACCCCCCGAAAACATGCCAGCGGACCGCCATGGCGAGTGTTCGACGGCGTTCTACCGTAACATCGCGTGCCGGTGTTTCTGTGTCAACCGCTGCGCTCTCGTGCGTTTGATTTTGTGTTTCTCATGTGCCAGAAGGCACGCGGCAGATTTTGACTTCACAAATTCACGACAACGCTATTTGTGCGCACACTGTCAATTTTGTCGCTAAAAATGTCAAGCTATCCAACGGCTTTGTTCAGCCACTCCAAAGGGTTCCTTATTGAATTGTAATTTTGGTGACGTTTCACTTACGTGAAATGTGGGGGGGGGGGGGGGGGGTACTGTGGTGAGATGTTAACTACCTCGCCTGGTATACAGGATGTCGTGGGTTCAATCCCGACCCTGGCACCTGTATATTTGGAGTTTGCATGTTCTCTCTGTTGTCATGTGGAGTTTTCTCCGGATCCTCCGGTTTTTCCATCCACACTTAGAAACATGCGTGTAGAGTAGTTGGCTGCTATAAATGTCCACATGATAAGCCACTTCGTTGAAATATCATTTGTGGTCAGGTCGCTTCTGAAAAAGAGCTATGTAGCTAAGTGGGCCTTACCTGGTAAAATAAAAAAAATGTACTTAAACCGTTTCCACAGAATCAAGATCCTGAAATAGACGGCCGCACTCGTGGTCAAAGCTGTTGATACCACCACCGCACCTCGCCATTCGTTTGCTACCCTCCGCCAGATATTCACCAGATTCCAGATAGATCCAAGACCTGCCCTGGTTAGTTTCCCACCATCTGCTCTTCGGTTTGCCGTACATCGGCGTGTATATCAAAACAGTGCGGTATACGTTTGGCGAACGGAAGGAAACAAAATACTTTTTTTTATTTGTATGAGGTCCAATTAGCATTTTAACCATACCGCAAACTTCCACGGAGATTCATCGTAAAAATAAAATAAACTGGCGTGCAGCTTACAGTTTCAGCTCCGTTTCTGTTATGTAGGTTTACTTCTCGATTATAAATTATTTGCAGATAAAGAACTAAACATGAATGAAAAAAATCATGTACACGCACGACTTCTGTAACGCTTCCCAATGTGAGTTTTGTCCTCGGGAGCATTTCATTTAGCGGTGGTGATGGTAGCGCTCGCACACATCAGGCGGGCAGGAAGCCACGATCAGACTACGGTGCTCAAGATAGCAGCTCTGCCTGGGACGGGCACAGGCAACCCCTTAACAATCATAATAATCAACACGTTCATTTGTCCAGCGTCATGTTTCAGAGACACCGTCACAAGGCCTAGGCCAGTGACAGCGCTGGAGTAGAGAGAGGCGCGGGTGACTTTCGGTCTCGAAGGCTACCTGCAACAAGGGGAAACGTACCTTCCGTACCCACCCAGATCGATGGCGTTCAAGTAACTGCTTTTAAATCGCGAACATGTTCATCGCGGCGTTCAGTTGGTGTTTACAATAGCCTGGTTGGGCACTGGCACAGTGTCCCGGATAGTATGAGGACCATTGATGGGATTTTAAGTTGCATTTTTTCATTTTAATTCTTCTTTTGCATAGTATATATTGTTTGTCTTTTAATTGTGATTAAATGTAAATGTTGTGGGCTTACTCTCCAACACACCTGTGTGCTGTACTAGTAACGAATTGGCATGTTTTTTTACACGACAAACCTTAGTAATTGGCCGTGTCGGGTGGTGGCGGGTTTCACGGCACATTTATATTTACACAATCATAACCTTAAACACCTATATTACGGTTAATTATGATTCTAAAATGTTGTTAGTTTTAATGTTAGGTTATAAACACTTAGTATGTGCTGGGTGAAATGTGGGATAAAGTTTTGCCCAATCCTGGCCCAGGTGGCAAAAATATTCAATAAACTTAACTAATGATGCTTTTACATGTATGTATGTTGAACTTCTTTCGCACTGTACATAGCCAACTGTGCTAATCGGAGGTGCGGGGGAAGGCCAACAAACTAAACACAAAAAGAAGTTCTAAATAAATTAGTTTTCAATCGAGATTTCAAAGTGCATCCATCGCTCCAGTGGCTTCCTAATATTGGAAGGAAGAGCATTAGAGACGGCCGCAGAAGCGCATATGAAAGAACGCAATGCAGCGACCATCTTTGTTCGATGGCGAGCCAAAAGCCGGCAAAAGCCACTGCGAGGATGTTTAATGAACATTTCGTGAAACTTTTTAGATCGAAGGTCATTGGGCTAAAGCTGTCTTTACGGTTCTGCTTGGCGGGGAATGTGGCCGGCAAGGTTTGTCATGGCTTGTCATGGCTTCACGCTGACGCTTTGTTCATCCTGGATCGTCTTTGTGAGAGTCACCGAGCCCACCGTTACAGAGAGGACACCGATTATGCTTTCAACCCGAGTTGGAAAGCAGTTAAATGAAGTAGCCGTTACATTAAAAATCTTAAATACCGAACTAGAAAATCACTGCATTGCGCATTGGGATCCTAGGATGGAATGGGCATTATACATTTTAATAATTCTTACGTAGAATTTTGTGTATTTTCGTTATTAAATTTACCCACGTTGCACCAGACTCTCAGACAAAGCGACGTTTACAGGAGAGGCTCCCTACTAATCTGCAAGCAGAGGACAAGCCCTGTGTGAGGCCCAGGGATTTACTCCAGCTCTTTCAAACGCCCATGCTAGCACGTAACAACACGGATAATTTGAGGGTGGCTGCACAGGAGGTTGCTTAAATGAAATCCACACTTTTAGCGAAGATCAAAGACGCAAATAATAAGGGAGACAAAAGCGTCCCAACGCTAAATAAACGCGAGCTCGAGCTCCAAATCCACGCGAATCCATAATCAAGGCTCAACGCATACCTCTTTCCAAAGGCTCTTTGAGCCGTTCCTCTTCCTCTCTCCTGATTGGCTCTTCGTCGCGCAGCTCCTCCCCCTCCTCAGTGTCGCTGTCCAGGTAACCAATCAGAAGCTCCTCGTCGGTCTCTATTTCATCCACAGCCAAGTAGAAAATGTTCTCTCCCTCCTAGGAAAATATCACATCTCAGCGAGCGCAGCGGCGGACACACAGACCAAAGAGGGAATAACAACAATAACATTTTAGTACATTTGGGTGGCGCAGTGCCTCACGAGTAAGAAGCTCCTGGGTTTGATTCCCAACTCGAGCTCCTTTCTGCGTGGTCTTTGTATGTTCTTCCACTATTCTGCATGGGTTTTTTCCAGGTTCTTAGGTTTTTATCCCATAGCTAATAAAAAAAAAACCCATACAATATTACCGGTATTGGCCAAACATCCAAATGCTGGAAAATTACCTGCAAAACTGCCTCATTTGGCGAGCCAGGGCTATAGCACCTCGACGCCCATGGGAATCACAGCATCTGCACGATGCACCAACGCCCGACTCCACCGTGCTGGTATTACAGGGCATGCATGGCCACCGCCACCAGGCACTCAATAACTGCACTCTATTGTCAAGATCAAAGCCACATAACCATCGGGAAATTAAAGAGAGGGTACTTTTTTTTGTTTTAAACGTGGCCCCCTGGGCATGTTGACCTCGACTGAGTCACTCACAGACACTGGCAGCTTCTCTCAACCGTGAGTCATTTCCTGATCGTTTGTCAAAAACAAAACCACGGACGGTGCTTGACTTTTGATCTATTCGTTACGAATGGTATCCCTAACGAAGAAACATTTCACGCAAGGATTAGTTTCAATGGGGCATTGTGAGAGGACTCGAAAGGATAACAACAAATGCCACTGGAAAATATCGTTCACGGAAGACTCGTCGTATGCTGGTGGAGTAAACACAATTACATTGATTTAATTTGTTCGTGGAGAGACCGACTTTGTGTTAACGCCTGTGGTTAGTGCACATTAACCACAGGCAGCAGCAGCCAGGAATAATGCAATGACCCATATCTGGGTGCTAAGCCATCCAACATTCCCAATGGCAACGATTGCGAGCGCAGGTGAACGGAGACGGAGATTGTGATACCGGTGCCCCCACGGGAACTCAACAAAGCCACACCTGGATGGGGCAGCGAACGGTAACGCTGTGCTTGAGCCACGCCGCGCGTGGCACCGGTGGCTTTGAAGAAAGAAGCGCGCGTGTAAAAGCATCGCTCGCTCGCTCGCAACAACGCAACAACGCGCCTGGCCCGCCGCCATTCAAGCACCGGGGGGATAACTTTACGAAAGCGGCACGGGGGGTGGGGGGGGCTGCGTCCCATTGAAGGCGCTGCGCCTCATTATGCAGCAGCCTCTCTGCAAAGTGCAACAGCACATTCACGCCGCCGTGAAGTAGGACGACACGTTCACACACACACACGACCAAAAACAGAGCCAGCGGTTGTTTCCATTGTGCATATCGCCAGCCGACACCCCCGCAAAACACCACCCCCGCCGTCCCACACTTCCATGGAATGGAAAGCCATAGCGGGGGAGCACCAGAGGAACAGTACACGGCAATATTCTTGGGTTGTTCGGTAAAGTCACGTAGATAGATTCAAAGAAAATAACAAAAAATAACCTATCTACGTGACTTTACCAAAAGACCCAATAATATGAATTCCTGCAGTCACGAAAGCTCTAAGTCAAGTACACAGCAATAACTCAAAACTATGAACCATTATTTTTTATTTTACCAGGTAAGGCCCACTGAGCTATAAAACTACTTTCAGAAGCCACCTGGCCACAAGTGATAAGCTCAACAAGGTGGCTTATCACGTGAAAATGTTTTTTTTTTTCTATAGCATAAATCCCACGACCGCAGGTCTGGCTCAAGAGCGAGTCCGCTGATGGATCACTGCGCTGGCAAAACGTAGAAAGTGTAAGCGGCTCTACATTACCGCGGTAAAATTTAGCGCGCCTGGCAGAATATTGCGAGCACCTGTGACCACTTTGCACGCGCGCTCGTGCGCGTGCACGCGTTCGTGCGCGCGCGTGAGTTACAGGAGAGCGTTGTCGTTCCCTCAAACCGGCCGCGTGAACGTTCGTGCATTGACAGAAGCGCCCCCGGTTATGGTTGTGCTCCGTATAGACTGAGCTGCATGAATGTGTTCTGCAAGTCCATCATGAACGTAAGTGCAGTATTTATAAAGCAATAATTTGCACTTGTTAGAAACCTTATAAATAATAACAAACACAAACTACCGAGTTGAACAAAGCATATTATAAAACAGCTGAAACAAAAATATATCCAAGAGACTGACTTCCAACGGTTGGGAGTTCCACAACCAGGGGGTCCCAGTAGAGAGTTCCACAACCAGGGGTCCCAGTAGAGAGTTCCACAACCAGAGGGTACCAGTAGAGAGTTCCACAACCGGGGGGCACCAGTAGAGAGTTCCACAACCGGGGGGCACCAGTAGAGAGTTCTACAACCAGGAGGCACCAGTAGAGAGTTCCACAACCGGGGGGCACCAGTAGAGAGTTCCACAACCGGGGGGCACCAGTAGAGCGTTCCACAACCGGGGGGCACCAGTAGAGAGTTCCACAACCAGGGGGCACCAGTAGAGAGTTCCACAACTGGGGGGCACCAGTAGAGAGTTCCACAACCGGGGGGCACCAGTAGAGAGTTCCACAACCAGGGGGTCCCAGTAGAGAGTTCCACAACGAGGGGGTCCCAGTAGAGAGTTCCACAACGAGGGGGTAGCAACAGAGAGTTCCACAACCAGGGGGTCCCAGTAGAGAGTTCCACAACGAGGGGGTACCAGTAGAGAGTTCCACAACCAGGGGGTCCCAGTAGAGAGTTCCACAACCGGGAAGACCACCACAGTAAACGCCGATCACCCCAAGAACGTGACCACCATCGAGGTTCTCGTAGGAGGGCACCATCGTCAGATATTAAACACCTTATAAGGGACGTGACATTGCAACGGCTGCTGAATATTAGGTGGAGCTCGCCCCCTGTGAAGCCTGAAATACAAGCAGCAGGGTCTCTTACGTCCCGCACATCGAGAAACAACACAGGGAACCAGTGCAACGATGCAGGAATAGGAGAGGAGTAAGTGCAGTGCAGCGTCGTGTATCCGATTAGCACGGTTGGCCACGTACTGTGCGAAAAAAGTTCAACGTACATACAAGATATAGGCGGATATGTGAAAAGGTCGGATATCTGAACTTCGAGATACAATCTACTGTCACGCCGCCGTGCACAAATGCCACAGTGGGTAGATGGCGGTTAATTGGTCAAGGCGGATATGTGAGGATCGGATGGATATGCGACGTTGTACTGTATTTAGAAAGAAATTAACAAAGTATAGTACCTCTTCTTTGCCGATTACTGAAAATATTGTAGACATTCTTCGAATCAACTCAAGATTACTGAGGCTCGGTGTGTACATTGTCAAGCTCAAGACTTGAAAATCCATAGCAATGCGAGTCGAAATGCAGGCGCATATAATAAGTGTACAAGGCACATATTTGAAATACTAGAAGGTAAAACAAAATCATCCTTAGTGTCGGTGTGGAGAATGTAAGTAACAAAATAAATATATAAATATCACATACACCTGTCCCTCCATCTAAACAAAAAAAACATTTTAACTCATCCAACCAGCCATACGGCCTTCTGGAAGTACATTAATACCCCAATGTACGTGGGGGATGCGTTCCTGAACGGCGCTACGACAAATATCGAAACGACGTCAATCAAAGTGATTCACCGGCGAGTAGGTGGTGGAGGCGAAGGCCGAGGGGCGAGGGATAACGGGAGAGGACGGACGATCTCGTCAGCGACGTGAGTGTGGGTTGAGGTGACGCACATCGGGAAGTGGCGTTAACAAAGTCGCGCAGATCGGGGTATTGTGAAACATTATTTCAGCAACATTGGTTCAACGCGAGGAAAACTGTGGACCGGCTTCAACATACATTAGCCGACACTCCCAGAAGGCTGTGCGGCTCGTGGGATGTGAAAAATAATACTTTTAATTCTCATGTGGAGGGTCAGATATGTGAAGGAGGGAGGGATGCTGTATGCCAATTAAAACTATAGACTATTGTTATTTTACCATGTAAGGTCAAATGAGCTATATAGCTCATTTTCAGAAGTGACCTGGTCACAAATGATAGCTCAACGAAGTGGCTTATCACGTGGAAGTTTATAGCAGCCAAATACTCTGAACGCACGTTTCTGAATGTGGAGGGAAAAACCGGAGGACCCGGAGAAAACTCCACACGACCATGGGGCGAACACGCAAACTCTAAATATACAGCAGGCGTCAGGGTCAGGATCGACCGTGACCTCCCGTATACTGGGCGAGGTAGTTAACATCTCGCCACCGACAAAATCCCGCGACGAATCCCTTGTCAAAACGGGAAGGACAGTGTTCTGAGTAGGTCCTCCACGTCACGATCACCGCAATTGCGGGCACGCGTGGGATTTCCCGATGCATCGTCACGAGCGGGAGTGGGCACGTATCGTGAGCAGCGTTGTACCTGAATGGCGGCAAGGTTCTTCTGGTCTTGCGTCGGGGCCTGATGCACGAAGCGCAGCCAGTTCGCGTGACGGGGGTTGCTGGCATCGAGCACGAACAGGGTCTCCCCATCCACGCTCCTCACCTGAACCCAACCAGACACACAGAGAACAGGGTCTCCCCATCCACGCTCCTCACCTGAACCCAACCAGACACACACAGAGAACAGGGTCTCCCCATCCAAGGTCCTCACCTGAACACAACCAGACACACAGAGAACAGGGTCTCCCCACCCACGGTCCTCACCTGAACACAACCAGACACACAGAAAACAGGGTCTACCCATCCACGCTCCTCACCTGAACACAACCAAACACACACAGAGAACAGGGTCCCCCCATCCACTGTCATCACCTGAACACAACCAGACACACAGAGGACAGGGTCTCCCCATCCACGCTCCTCACCTGAACCCACCCAGACACACACAGAGAACAGGGTCTCCCCATCCATGCTCCTCACCTGAACACAACCAGACACACAGAGAACAGGGTCTATCCATCCACGCTCCTCACCTGAACCCACCCAGACACACAGAGAACAGGGTCTATCCATCCACGCCCCTCACCTGAACCCACCCAGACACACACAGAGAACAGGGTCTCCCCATCCACGCTCCTCACCTGAACCCACCCAGACACACAGAGAACAGGGTCTATCCATCCACGCTCCTCACCTGAACCCACCCAGACACACACAGAGAACAAGGTCTCCCCATCCACGCTCCTCACCTGAACACAACCAGACACACACAGAGAACAAGGTCTCCCCATCCACGCTCCTCACCTGAACACAACCAGACACACAGAGAACAGGGTCTACCCATCCACGCTCCTCACCTGAACCCAGCCAGACACACAGAGAACAGGGTCTACCCATCCACGCTCCTCACCTGAACCCAGCCAGACACACAGAGAACAGGGTCTCCCCATCCACGGTCCTCACCTGAACACAACCAGACACACAGAGAACAGGGTCTCCCCATCCACGCTCCTCACCTGAACACAACCAGACACACAGAGAACAAGGTCTCCCCATCCACGGTCCTCACCTGAACACAACCAGACACACAGAGAACAAGGTCTCCCCATCCACGGTCCTCACCTGAACACAACCAGACACACAGAGAACAAGGTCTCCCCATCCACGGTCCTCACCTGAACACAACCAGACACACAGAGAACAAGGTCTCCCCACCCACGCTCCTCACCTGAACCCACCCAAACATTAAAGACACGGGGGGAGCCCTCCATAACTCAGCAATCACTGCTACCCACCAGTGAAAAAAGGGCATGCATGACAGCATTCTCATCCCAGCGTTATTCGAACTCACATGGGGCCTGCCTTGCTGCTTCTCATTCCCTCCTCACTCACGCCCCTGGGCCATCTCCACATCCACTCCACAGTCCCTGACACCCTGGCTCACATCTCAAACAAGCTCTATCCACACATTTATCATGCAAGGCCCCCTGTCAATCCACAGGCTCCATGAATGCCTCCCTCCACCGTGTGTCGGCTGCAGTGGGGCATTTGTTGAGCCATACTTCACCGCGCTCAGTGCAGGACCAGTTCCGATATCGCTCTCCACTGACGTTAGCCGTGGCCCGGAATCGATCGCAGATCGCCAGGTTCATGACACAGTGTGCTAACCACCGCAACCAACCACTCCAGCCCTACCTCTAGGCTGACCTCTGGAGCCTATATAAAAAAAAACGTTGTTATTATTATATTGCAAATTAAATTGCCAAAAATGTAAAAGTAACAAATGTACTATTTGATTGCTGTTAGAGAACCTGTGTAAGCCATTGCTTGATGTCCTTTTCTAAAGATGTCTGCTATCATTGCACCCACAATGTTCAGATATTCACTCTTGCACCTCCTACGGCCATCGTGATGGCCAAACTTATCGGCTTCGTGTTATTCCCATAGACTCAAAGCTTTCAGCCCACACAGAGGTCGTGACATCAACACAGAGACGCAGCCTGTACGTTGAATCCGCCCGAAGAGGGAGCTGAGCACGGCAAGCTGCTGCCGTGGTGAAGCAGAACAGTTCGTTTAAACTTCAAACTAAACATTTCCCCCATTTAATTACAACATATACCATACAGTATCAAACATTAGGACGCACTTATACATATATATGGCGAGATTCAGCCCATCAGCCTCGGCATTATCGGGAAGTTATGGAAACTACGTGCAGCCAATAAAAACAACAACGAATGGATTGCGAGTCGAGTGGTGAGATGTTATCTCTCTTTCCAGGTACGCAGGAGGTCGTGTGCTCGATCCCGACCCTGACGCCTGCTGCATATTTGGAGTTTGCGTGTTCCCCGCTTTGTCGCGTGGATTTTTCCTCTGGGTTCTCTGCGGTTTCCCCTCCACATTTAGAAAAATGCCTTTAGATTATTTGGCTGCTATGAATTCCCACGTGATAAGCCACTTAGTGAGCTATCGTTTGTGGCCAGGTTGCGCCTACAAAAGAGCTCCATAGCTCAGTGGGCTTCACTTGGTATAATAAAGAATAATAAAAAAAATTATAATTTTACTGACACTGCACATGGAAAGAATGATCATACGTGTTGAATATGTTCTTTCACATGGCCGGTGTTGGAACTGGTACACATTTGCAGATACTAAAGCACGTTCTCCTACAGACTTTGAAAGCGTATTTCAAGGATGTGAATGGTTTACATTTAGGGCCTATAGGAAGGGGAAGTCTTGTCTAGTGCTTTCCTGTAGTTGTAAGGTAATTTCCTGAAGTGCAGAAGCAGCTGCTGTGATATTTGTAGAATACCTTAGAGTGGCCATCTACTGTGCTCACCTCCTACATCCTTCCATGTGTCCTTAAACCACTGAAAACAATATCCCTTGCTGGCTAGGCAACAACAAGAACAGCAGCAAATAAAGTTGCCGTCCATGTTTGTAGCACGTAATGGATGTGGTTGTTTTGATGTTGGGAGTGCGAGCTTGCATTATTGCATGAGCCACAGAGACAGCTGCTGACAATGTGGAGCTTGCTGTGGACATGGTGATAAAAAAGAAACCCCACGGGCATTGACAACGGTCACGGAACAGAATCTGACGAGCGGGCAAAAAACATCCCGGAGATGGGCATGCTTGTAATTACAGCGAGAGACACAACAACAAAAAAGGATTAAGAAACATATGCAGTTAAAAAAAGACAACATTTTGACCGTTAACAAAATTCCTGAGTGGATTTGGGCAGGAGACAGCATTGGAAGGGATGCGAGTCGGTGGTCGAGGCTGACGATGGAATGCCAGTAAAACGGAGGGAACGCGCTTGGAAATATGTTCACGGTGGAGACGAAGCAATGATGTGAGCTATGGTGAGGCAGACAGACGGGCAACGCTGCGTTGTGTGACCGTGAGAGTTGAGGACGGGAGAGGCTCGTTGGGGAGGCCTTCATCCAGCAGTGAATAGATGTAGACTGATACTGTATGCATGTATGTTGAACTTGTGATTCTTAAAAATGGTATTGTTAGTTTCAATGTTAGGTTAGTTTTAATCTTACGTTTGCCTGAGTGAAATTTGTTGGCTAAGTTTTGCCCAATCCTGGCCCAGATGGCTCAAAAATAAACCAATGTTATGTAAATGTTGAACTTCTTTCACACCGCACGTAGCCAATCATGCTAATCAGAAAGTGCGGGAGGACGAAAAACTAAACACACGAAGCAGTTAGAAAGAAATTAATTTTCAATCTAGATTATTTAAATGTGCGTAGCTCCATTGGCTACCTAATATCGAAAGGTTGAGCGTTCCAGACGGCCGCAGAAGCGCGTCTGAAAACACTCGGTGCGGTGACCACCGTCTTTGTTCGACAAAATAACGCGAAGTCCGGATGAGCGGACTTCGCGTGATGGTTTCATGCTCCGTGACGAGATCAGCAAGCACAGTAGATCACCACTCTAGGATCTTCTCCATGATAACGATGACGATCTGGTCTCACCTCCCACATGAGCCGAGGGTCCTTGCTGTCATCCATCTCGTTCGGGAGCCGCTTCTCGCCGGCAAACGGACCAAATTTCTCCCCCTTTGCAACGAACATTCAAACGTAACAACAACAACAACGGATTAGAGACGTTCAGGCATCGTAACTGAATGCACTCGAATGCCGCACACGATACAGTCGTCAAGTCCGTGCTACGTCGAGACGTGTGACTTGCGTATGAAGGTCACAAGCGGTACAAGGTTTAGTTTGGTGTCCTTCCCCCGCACCTCCGATTAGAGCACGGTTGGCTACGTACGGTGCGAAAGAAGTTCAACAAACGTTTATGGAAAGCACGTGGAATTGCGTGATTTTTATTTTGAAGAAAGATAAGTAAAAATGTGCGGCACTTTTGTCATTCCACTGCTGAATGACGCCCCCTCCCCCACGCCTTGTTGGTCATGGGTGTTGTCCAACCATACTTCACCACACTGGCTAGTGATGTTTGGTGCGGAGAATGCCCTAAGACCAGTGTCAGTATTATTTGCTAAAGATATTGGGCATGGACAGTTATAATTCTCAGGTCGCAGTCTGTTTTTTTTTTAAATAAAATGTTACTTGTAGTTTTAGAATATTTGTCCTTTGATTTAGAACCTTATGTGGAATGACCTGAGTTAAGTTCTTTGTTTTATTCCATTTAGGAAAGGCAATAACGGTTATCACCAGAGGGGAAAAAAGACTTCGCAGGACCCCAGAAAATAAATGTGGAATTTCCACCACTGGCTCATGACTTGCAACGAAGAGCATTGCTCTAAGTCGTTTGCACAGGCAGACACCATTGCCGAAAGGATGGACTTATCCACTAATACCACGTTCTGAAAACAGTCCACCGCTCACTATTTCCTTCATTGCTATGCGTACGTTCGTTTTTATTGTAATTTACTTTCGTCATCACGGTGATGACCCACGTCAATCTTGTGAATGAGACTCATCCTGGTCTCTTGCGAGTTCTCACCTGCTTAAACAACATCGACTTAACTTGACCAGCTTCACAGTTTATAGCAGCCAGACATAATAACGCGCGTGTTTTTACTGGTAGGAGCATACAAAACAGAGACGTTGTCTTAGCCACTGCGAGTCCTCTGGTCGATCGTCTCTAACTTTGTGTAACACTCGACGCGAGTTCCGGAGTTCAACAGAACAGAAACTGGAAGTTCCACGCAGCCAACAACCCCACGCCAATTGGCAGAACAAAGACCACGGAGAGTACAGCGGACAGATTCGATCTCACGCTTTCCTCGTCACCGCTGGACGTCGGCGTCAAATTTCTCATTAAAAGTCACAGCGATGCTTTCACAGTGAATGTTTCACTTTCCCGACGTGCGGACGTCAACACGGCGCCGCGTAAACAGAACGCACGTGCTCGCCCAAACCAAACAGTGCCCACATTTGCAAAGAGCACAAGTGTATGCAGCGAGGTTTGTTCAAGAGCACGTGTCTCTTCGCTCAAAACTCCCCTTCACTCGAGGCCATGGTGCAGCCCTGCGGTTGCTTGCTGCATCCCCACTGCTCCAGAGATCCTCTCTCTAGGGGGTACTTGGCCTCTTATAATAAGAAGAATGCAATTTTGCAACCAGCACAATATTTCCCGGACATAAATGACTCCGCGTCGCTGAGTTACGGAGCCCAGCTCGGTGTCAATCAAAGCCAGGCGAAAGGGGCTTGATGACTTTAAGTAAGAGGTTGAGGCATCCACGTATCACTCATAGGTCAGTGGAGATCGAACGCTGCTGCTGAGAATGTGCAGCGATGATGATAGCCGCACTCCAGACCGAGGGGACTGCTACGGAGAAACTCAGCCCGGCAGTGACGTCCCTGGTCCTTGGTGTAGAGGGGAGGATGGAGGTTGTGAGTCTCGCTACGGGGAGTTCAGTGCGGGGTTGGTGGGAGCGGACAAGAGAGTTTCACCTCCCGATTTAGGCTCTGGCTACAGGTCGCATGCTGACTCCAGTCTACATGTGAGAAATTAAATCACATCGCTAATCCCTTTGCTGTAACAACATTAACCCTTTCACCCCTAACGCTCTCCCTTCCTCTGAAAGACTTTCTCTAATCCAATACCAAACTAAGCGGATCCCCGATACAAGCCCTGAAACGTATCACTTACACTGAGTAGTGAGCACGAACCACTTCACATAACCCTGATGTAGGCATTCCACGGCAGCATGGTCGATTCATAATTTCGCCCTGGTTTCAAGGGTCACCACAATGGACTTCCAACCCAGAGGTCGCCGATTTGATCCCAGAGCAGCAGCTGAAACAGTGTGCCGGTGTGGAAGATTCGGGTACATTGCCTCTGAAGGAAGCTCACTCCGAGCCCTCTTACATCCATAGCAGTGACATGAACAAGCAATTGCAGGGGCTGCACTTTCATGGCTGATGTGTCCTTCGGCCGACGAATGGTTAAGCCATCCGTTAAACTGTGTAGCCTGCAACAGACTACTGGGGCAAGTGCTGTTAGCGAGCACCTATGAAGGCCGGCACGGCACACGGGGGGGTGGGTGGCCAGCACCACGCCCGGCCGCCTTTGTCTCCCCCCGTGGCGATGTTTACGCACCGCAAAAGGTACTCATTTGAGGCTGAGTCGACCTAGGGGATGTCCAGATAATCGTCACCGGTGTTGACCGCGAGCTGGAATCGAACTCGTGTGACCGGGTTCGTAGCGCGGCACGCTGACCGCTGTGCTACCGCTCCCACGCAACACGCGTGTAACACGCAACACGGGTGTAACACGCAACACGCGTGTAACACGCAACACGCGTGTAACACGCTACACGCGTGTTTGGACACGGGCATCGTTGGTGGGAAAGGCGAGAGACTGTCGTGACTCGCCCTCACTGTACGAGAGACTGTCGTGACTCGCCCTCACTGTACGAGAGACTGTCGTGACTCGCCCTCACTGTACGAGAGACTGTCGTGACTCGCCCTCACTGTACGAGAGACTGTCGTGACTCGCCCTCACTGTACGAGAGACTGTCGTGACTCGCCCTCACTGTACGAGAGACTGTCGTGACTCGCCCTCACTGTACGAAGCAGCGCCCCGTTTGCCGACGTGGCTCGCACATTCCGTGCATACTTTCACTCTCAACTCTCTCACTCAACTCTCACACTCTCACTCAACTCTCACTCAACTTTCACTCTCAACTCTCACTCTCAACTCTCTCTCAACTCTCACTCTCACTCAACTCTCACTCTCAACTCTCTCTCAACTCTCACTCTCAACTCTCTCACAACTCTCTCACTCTCAACTCTCTCCCAACTTTCACTCTCAACTCTCTCACTCACTCAACTCTCTCACTCTCAACTCTCACTCTCAACTCTCACTCTCAACTCTCTCACTCTCAACTCTCTCTCAACTCTCACTCTCAACTTTCACTCTCAACTCTCACTCAACTCTCATCTCTCATCTCTCTCACAACTCTCACTCTCAACTCTCTCTCTCACTCTCACTCAACTCTCACTCTCAACCCTCTCACTCAACTCTCACTCAACTCTCTCTCTCAACTCTCATCTCTCACTCAACTCTCACTCAACTCTCTCACTCTCAACTTTCACTCTCAACTCTCTCACAACTCTCACTCCCAACTCTCATCTCTCACTCAACTCTCACTCAACTCTCACTCTCAACTCTCATCTCTCACTCAACTCTCACTCAACTCTCTCACTCTCAACTTTCACTCTCAACTCTCTCACAACTCTCACTCCCAACTCTCATCTCTCACTCAACTCTCACTCAACTCTCACTCTCAACTCTCATCTCTCACTCAACTCTCACTCAACTCTCTCACTCTCAACTCTCACTCTCAACTCTCTCACTCTCAACTCTCACTCTCAACTCTCTCACTCAACTCTCACTCTCAACTCTCACTCTCAACTTTCACTCTCAACTCACTCTCAACTCTCATCTCTCATCTCTCTCACAACTCTCACTCTCAACTCTCTCACTCAACTTTCACTCTCAACTCTCTCTCTCTCAACTTTCAACTCTTTCACTCAACCCTCACTCTCAACTTTCACTCTCAACTCTCTCTCTCTCAACTCTCTCTCTCAACTTTCACTCTCAACTCTCTCACAACTCTCATCTCTCACTCAACTTTCACTCTCAACTCTCTCTCAACTTTCACTCTCAACTCTCTCTCTCAACTCTCTCCCAACTCTCACTCTCAACTCTCATCTCTCACTCAACTCTCTCACTCTCAACCCTCTCTCTCAACTCTCTCACTCTCAACTCTCATCTCTCACTCAACTCTCACTCAACTCTCTCACTCTCAACTCTCACTCTCAACTCTCTCACTCTCAACTTTCACTCTCAACTCTCTCTCTCAACTCTCTCCCAACTCTCACTCTCAACTCTCATCTCTCACTCAACTCTCTCTCTCAACTCTCTCTCTCAACTCTCTCACTCTCAACTCTCTCTCAACTCTCACTCTCAACTCTCATCTCTCAACTTTCACTCTCAACTCGCTCTCTCAACTCTCACTCTCAACTCTCATCTCTCACTCAACTCTCTCTCAACTTTCACTCTCAACTCTCACTCTCAACTCTCTCTCTCAACTCTCACTCTCAACTCTCTCTCTCAACTCTCACTCTCAACTCTCTCTCTCAACTCTCTCTCAACTCTCTCACTCTCAACTCTCTCTCAACTCTCACTCTCAACTCTCACTCTCAACTCTCTCACTCTCAACTTTCACTCTCAACTCTCTCTCTCAACTCTCATCTCTCACTCAACTCTCACTCAACTCTCACTCTCAACTCTCATCTCTCACTCAACTCTCTCTCTCAACTCTCTCACTCTCAACTCTCTCTCAACTCTCTCACTCTCAACTCTCATCTCTCACTCAACTCTCACTCAACTCTCTCACTCTCAACTCTCTCACTCTCAACTCTCTCACTCTCAACTCTCATCTCTCACTCAACTCTCACTCAACTCTCTCACTCTCAACTCTCACTCTCAACTCTCACTCTCAACTCTCATCTCTCACTCAACTCTCTCTCAACTCTCTCACTCTCAACTCTCTCACTCTCAACTCTCACTCTCAACACTCTCACTCTCAACTCTCACTCTCAACTCTCTCACTGAACCCTCACTCTCAACTCTCACTCTCAACTCTCATTCTCAACTCTCGCACTCAACTCTCTCACTCTCAACCCTCACTCTCACTCTCAACTCTCACTCTCAACTCTCTCACTCAACTCTCACTCTCAACTCTCTCACTCAACTCTCACTCTCAACTCTGACTCTCAACTCTCACTCTCAACTCTCACTCTCAACTCTCACTCTCAACTCTCTCACTCTCACGCTCAACTCTCACTCTCAACGCTCACTTTCAACTCTCTCACTCTCAACTCTCACTCTCAACTCTCACTCTCAACTCTCACTCTCAACTCTCAACTTTCACTCTCAACTCTCACTCTCAACTCTCACTCGACTCTCACACTCTCAACTCTCACTCAACTCTCTCTCTCAACTCTCTCACTCTCAACTTTCACTCTCAACTCTCACTCTCAACTCTCACTCTCAACTCTCTCACTCTCAACTCTCTCTCTCTCTCAACTCTCTCACTCTCAACTTTCACTCTCAACTCTCACTCTCAACGCTCTCACTCAACTCTCACTCTCAACTTTCACTCTCACTCTCAACTCTCACTCTCAACTCTCAACTCTCACTCTCAACTCTCTCACTCAACTCTCACTCTCAACTCTCACTCTCAACTCTCAAGTCTCTCACTCAACTCTCACTCTCAACTCTCACTCTCAACCCTCACTCTCAACTCTCACTCTCAACTCTCACTCCCAACTCTCTCACTCAATTCTCACTCTCAACTCTCACTCTTAACTCTCTCACTCTCAACTCTCACTCTCAACTCTCTCACTCAACTCTCACTCAACTTTCACTCTCAACTCTCACTCTCAACTCTCTCTCAACTCTCACTCTCAACTCTCAACTCTCACTCTCAACTCTCTCTCAACTCTCACTCTCAACTCTCACTCTCAGCTCTCACTCTCAACTCCCACTCCCAACTCTCTCTCTCTCAAGTCTCACTCTCAACTCTCACTCTCAACTCTCTCACTCTCAACTCTCACTCTCAACTCTCTCACTCTCAACTCTCACTCTCAACTCTCACTCTCAACTCTCTCTCTCTCAACTCTCTCTCTTAACTCTCACTCTCAACTCTCACTCTCAACTCTCACTCTCATCTCTCACTCTCAACTGTCACTCTCAACTCTCTCACTCTCAACTCTCACTCTCAACTCTCACTCTCAACTCTCACTCTCAACTCTCACTCTCAACTCTCACTCTCAACTCTCACTCTCAACTCTCACTCTCAACTCTCTCACTCTCAACTCTCACTCTCAACTCTCACTCTCAACTCTCTCTCTCTCAACTCTCTCTCTTAACTCTCACTCTCAACTCTCACTCTCAACTCTCACTCTCAACTCTCACTCTCAACTCTCACTCTCAACTCTCTCTCTCTCAACTCTCACTCTCAACTCTCACTCTCAACTCTCAAGTCTCTCACTCAACTCTCACTCTCAACTCTCACTCTCAACCCTCACTCTCAACTCTCACTCTCAACTCTCACTCCCAACTCTCTCTCTCTCAAGTCTCACTCTCAACTCTCACTCTCAACTCTCTCACTCTCAACTCTCACTCTCAACTCTCACTCTCAACTCTCACTCTCAACTCTCACTCTCAACTCTCTCACTCTCAACTCTCACTCTCAACTCTCACTCTCAACTCTCTCTCTCTCAACTCTCTCTCTTAACTCTCACTCTCAACTCTCACTCTCAACTCTCACTCTCAACTCTCACTCTCAACTCTCACTCTCAACTCTCTCACTCTCAACTCTCACTCTCAACTCTCACTCTCAACTCTCACTCTCAACTCTCACTCTCAACTCTCACTCTCAACTCTCACTCTCAACTCTCACTCTCAACTCTCTCACTCTCAACTCTCACTCTCAACTCTCACTCTCAACTCTCTCTCTCTCAACTCTCTCTCTTAACTCTCACTCTCAACTCTCACTCTCAACTCTCACTCTCAACTCTCACTCTCAACTGTCACTCTCAACTCTCTCACTCTCAACTCTCACTCTCAACTCTCCCTCTCAACTCTCAAGTCTCTCACTCAACTCTCACTCTCAACTCTCACTCTCAACCCTCACTCTCAACTCTCACTCTCAACTCTCACTCCCAACTCTCTCTCTCTCAAGTCTCACTCTCAACTCTCACTCTCAACTCTCTCACTCTCAACTCTCACTCTCAACTCTCACTCTCAACTCTCACTCTCAACTCTCACTCTCAACTCTCACACTCTCAACTCTCACTCTCAACTCTCACTCTCAACTCTCTCTCTCTCATCTCTCTCTCTTAACTCTCACTCTCAACTCTCACTCTCAACTCTCACTCTCAACTCTCACTCTCAACTGTCACTCTCAACTCTCTCACTCTCAACTCTCACTCTCAACTCTCACTCTCAACTCTCACTCTCAACTCTCACTCTCAACTCTCACTCTCAACTCTCACTCTCAACTCTCACTCTCAACTCTCTCACTCTCAACTCTCACTCTCAACTCTCACTCTCAACTCTCTCTCTCTCAACTCTCTCTCTTAACTCTCACTCTCAACTCTCACTCTCAACTCTCACTCTCAACTCTCACTCTCAACTGTCACTCTCAACTCTCTCACTCTCAACTCTCACTCTCAACTCTCACTCTCAACTCTCAAGTCTCTCACTCAACTCTCACTCTCAACTCTCACTCTCAACCCTCACTCTCAACTCTCACTCTCAACTCTCACTCCCAACTCTCTCTCTCTCAAGTCTCACTCTCAACTCTCACTCTCAACTCTCTCACTCTCAACTCTCACTCTCAACTCTCACTCTCAACTCTCACTCTCAACTCTCACTCTCAACTCTCTCACTCTCAACTCTCACTCTCAACTCTCACTCTCAACTCTCTCTCTCTCAACTCTCTCTCTTAACTCTCACTCTCAACTCTCACTCTCAACTCTCACTCTCAACTCTCACTCTCAACTGTCACTCTCAACTCTCTCACTCTCAACTCTCACTCTCAACTCTCACTCTCAACTCTCAAGTCTCTCACTCAACTCTCACTCTCAACTCTCACTCTCAACCCTCACTCTCAACTCTCACTCTCAACTCTCACTCCCAACTCTCTCTCTCTCAAGTCTCACTCTCAACTCTCACTCTCAACTCTCTCACTCTCAACTCTCACTCTCAACTCTCACTCTCAACTCTCACTCTCAACTCTCACTCTCAACTCTCTCACTCTCAACTCTCACTCTCAACTCTCACTCTCAACTCTCTCTCTCTCAACTCTCTCTCTTAACTCTCACTCTCAACTCTCACTCTCAACTCTCACTCTCAACTCTCACTCTCAACTGTCACTCTCAACTCTCTCACTCTCAACTCTCACTCTCAACTCTCACTCTCAACTCTCACTCTCAACTCTCATCTCTCAACTCTCTCTCAACTCTCACTCTCAACTCTCACTCTCAACTCTCACTCTCAACTCTCATCTCTCAACTCTCTCTCTCAGCACAACCGCCAAACGAGCAGCCACCCGTCGACATGATCAGAGCTTGTTGGTTGTGCTGTTGGTTGCGCTGTTGGTTGTGCTGTTGGTTGTGCTGTTGGTTGCGCTGTTGGTTGTGCTGTTGGTTGCGCTGTTGGTTGCGCTGTTGGTTGTGCTGTTGGTTGTGCTGTTGGTTGTGCTGTTGGTTCTGCTGTTGGTTGCGCTGTTGGTTCTGCTGTTGGTTGCGCTGTTGGTTGCGCTGTTGGTTGTGCTGTTGGTTCTGCTGTTGGTTGCGCTGTTGGTTCTGCTGTTGGTTGCGCTGTTGGTTCTGCTGTTGGTTGCGCTGTTGGTTCTGCTGTTGGTTGCGCTGTTGGTTGCGCTATTGGTTGAGCTGTTGGTTGTGCTGTTGGTTGCGCTGTTGGTTGCAGCAGTGTCGCAATGAACCCACGCGACCGGCATCTGAACGAGCATCTGTCCGGTATGAATGTGACCATCATGAACCATGAGTATCATCATCACAACTATGATGATCATCATCCGTTACTCTCCTACACCCTTTCACTCTTAAACTTCATCACCACCAACAACCCCACAGCGGCAATAGCAAATACGGATGGTTGTCAGTGTAACAGTGAACACGACGAGTTCCTGCGTTGGGACATCACTGCCATCAGCGTGAAACTTGCATCGTCATCATCATCAGATACTCTTACCGCGGTCTCACTCGCACTGCATCACCACAATCATCACCAAGACAACCAACAACAACAACAACGACGATTATAGTGTAACAGTGAATCCGAGTGCCGACATTTAAACATCACTGCCACCGTCATCATAACCACCACCGTCATCATCACCGAATTCACACTGCCTCACCAAAACCACCACCAACTCATCAAGCCAAAGGAATTCCCTGCACAAATTTGCGAAGAGGCGGTGCCGATCTCCGGTTTACAGCCATGAGTAGACAGTCCGCATTCCTATGGCGGGGGTGAGTCCATTCATGAATACGAACCGTCCGCTCAAAAACCGCAGCCAACCAATATACGACTTCTCGTGAAGACGGAGTCCGGCATTTGGACATCTGTCCGGGGTCACTACTACCACAATCATCATCACCACCACCATCATCATCATCACCGTCATCTCCATCATGTACCTTGGTGACCCGGCGAGCTGTGTACAAGCCTATGCCTTGCTGCACGTGTGACGGCTTGAGCGAGAATCGCTCGGGCACGTACATCCCCAACATTCTCCTGCCAGCAACAGCAGCAGCAGCGACTCCCACTAACAGCAACCACCAGCGCTAACCGCTCACAACCACAGCAACAACCACCACGGCAACGAAGAACTCGAGAAGCGGCAAGTTAGTCGCAAGTTTAGGCGAAAGGCCGTCTCCATCCCCCGCAGGCTCTCCCGATCATCATCATCCCCAGTACCGCGTTCCTTAGCTCACGCAATAAGCACGGCGGATTCGCGGCTCTGCCATTGGGCACAGAGAGTTTGGCCGGTGTACGCCCACTGCTGCTTTCAGGAGTTAAGAGGAAGCGGGGATCTTGGGAGACGCTGCCACGTTAACGTGGGTCGCCCATGGTTGCGTCTGAGAAAAGCGTTGTTAGCCACGAACCCCATCGCGCTCGCTTTCAGATGCGCTTTCTGCGGCCGTCTGAAACGCTCTTCGCCCACTGAACTCTCAGGAGTCAGCCGAAGCGGGGATCTTGGGAGACGCTGCCACCCACGGCTGCGATGTGTCTAAGGCTCTAAAGCAAAGCGTTGTTAGGGATGAACCCCAGCGCGCGTGCGCTTTCAGATTCGCTTTCTGCGGCCGTCTGGAACGCTCTTTGCACAGAGAGCTCTTAGGAGTTAAGAAGACGCGTGGATCCTGCGAGACGCTTCGCTGCCACGTTAACGTGGGTCCCTGGGTGCGATGCGCTTTCAGATGCACTTTTAAAGCATCATCATCATCTCGATTGAAAACGGATTTCCTGAAAACTTGCTTTTTGTGTGTATTTTGTTGTCGCCCGCACCTCCGATTAGCACGGTTGGCTACGTGCGGCGTGAAAGATGTTCAGCAGTACGTACATACAACTCGTCACCACCACCACCACAGTTCGCTGGTTTTTATTCGATTTCTCGGCGTGGTAGGTGAACACAATGGGGCCAACCCGATTGTTAATTGACAGCAGCCACCACCACCACTTTCCCCGGCCTACTCCAGGGGCTGTACATTTAGCTCTATAAGGCCGATGTGTTGTTGTTCTGCAGCTGGTGGTTGTTGAACCCATCCGTTACCATCGCTCGTATCTCGGAAGCAAAAGCAGAGTTTGAGCCTGGATAGTGCCGACATAACAGGGTTGTTATAGGACGCTGCGGTGGCTACGATGGGGACAAGCAGAAGAGCAGGCCAACGTCAATTGTTGTACTGTATACGTCTATGGCTCCCACGTCTATGCTCTCTCTCTCTGTCTTCAACAAGCGTCGTGGTCCTTGCTTTCGTGCCTACGGCGAAGGGTTGGCAACTTGCTTCGCCAGCGTTGTGTGAAGTATGGCCAAATAAGCACAGCGATGGATTGCCTTATCCAGTGGTAACTTGGCTAACAGCGGCAAAACACCCCCCCCTCCTCCCCCCGTGTCGCCTTTAGGGGCCGTCCATAAATGACGTCACGCGATTTTGGACGACTTTTGATCCCCCCCTCCCCTCGTCACACGGCGAGAACGTGCTGTCTATATGTATTTAAAGTTGCACATTTTGATGTGACGTCACATTTCTCAAACCCCCCCCCCCTCGTCACACATCGTCACAAATGTCTAACCCCCCCCCAGGTGCGTGACGTCATTTATGAACGGCCCCTTAACAGACTTCTGGGGCAGGTGCTGCTAGCGAGTAGCACCTATGAAGGCTGGCACGGCACACGATGGGGTGGTTGAACAGCACTACACCCCGCCGCCTTTGTCTCCCTAGTGGCAATTTTTACACATCGCACTAGGTGCTAATTTGAGGCTGAGTCAACCTAGAAGAGGCCCACACTGGTGTTGGCCGTGAGCGGGTGGTATCGAACTCGGCGCAGGTTCATAGCGCAGCGGGCTAACTGCTGTTCCACCGCTGTGTTTTATTTCACAGGGTTTACTGAGCTGTGTAGCTCTTTCTCAGAAGCGACCTGTGCCACAAATGATCGCTCAACGAAGTGGCTTATCACGTGGACATTTATAGCAGCCAAACACTCTAAACGCATGGGCAGCACAAGCACACTCCAAATATACAACAGGCGTCAGGTTCAGGAATCGAACCCACAACTTTCTGTACACCAGGCGAGGTAGTTAACATCCCGCCACTGCGTCGCCCTATCTGGTTGTACCGCAAGTTGCTGGACATAATGATGATGACTAACAGCCCTTGCCACAGTGAGTGGTGTACTGGATGTGATGTGCCCGAGTGCAGAAATATTTTGCGGGTCGCTGGTTGACTGAGAATGGTGGCTCGTGACGAATAGCCACAGCGAGAAACAGGTGCACAAGATGTGGTGTGTCGACCCCCAATAGACCTGCCTAAAATTAAGCCCTGGGGTGTTAAGGTTATACAAGCCTAGTGTTGAAGCTAGTTCCTTTATTTGGTTGAGGATTGCATTGGGCCACATTCAGCGTTTGTTGATTACAATTGCTGCACTGAACTCTCTACTGCGCCAATCAGGGGTTTACTGACTTCTTCTCACGGAGAAAAACGTGGGACATTATGCCGGACAACACGTGGTACAACCCGTAAACACATTGGAGAGTTGTACAGTGAGGGAAAAAAAGTATTTTATCCCCTGCTGATTTTGTACGTTTGCCCACTGACAAATAAATTATCAGTCTATAATTTTAATGGTAGGTTAATTTGAACAGTGAGAGATAGAATAACAACAACAAAATCCTGAAAAACGCATGTCAAAAATTGTATAAGTTGATTTGCATTTTAATGAGGGAAAAAAAGTATTTGACTCCTCTGCACAACATGACTTAGTACTTGGTGGCAAAACCCTTGTTGGCAATCACAGAGGTCAGACGTTTCTTGTAGTTGGCCACCAGGTTTGCACACATCTCAGGAGGGATTTTGTCCCACTCCTCTTTGCAGATCTTCTCCAAGTTATTAAAGTTTCGAGGCTGCCGTTTGGCAAACTCGAACCTTCAGCTCCCTCCACAGATTTTCTATGGGATTAAGGTCTGGAGACTGGCTAGGCCGCTCCAGGACCTTAATGTGCTTCTTCTTGAGCCACTCCTTTGTTGCCTTGGCCGTGTGTTTTGGGTCATTGTCATGCTGGAATACCCATCCACGACCCATTTTCAATGCCCTGGCTGAGGGAAAGAGGTTCTCACCCAAGATTTGACGGTACATGGCTCCGTCCATTGTCCCTTTGATGCGGTGAAGTTGTCCTGTCCCCTTAGCAGAAAACACCCCCAAAGCATAATGTTTCCACCTCCATGTTTGACGGTGGGGATGGTGTTCTTGGGGTCATAGGCAGCATTCCTCCTCCTCCAAACACGGCGAGTTGAGTTGATGCCAAAGAGCTCCATTTTGGTCTCATCTGACCACAAAACTTTCACTCAGTTGTCCTCTAAATCATTCATATGTTCATTGGCAAACTTCAGACGGGCATGTATATGTGCTTTCTTGAGCAGGGGGGCCTTGCGGGCGCTGCAGGATTTCAGTCCTTCACGGCGTAGTGTGTTACCAATTGTTTTCTTGGTGACTATGGTCCCAGCTGCCTTGAGATCATTGACAAGATCCTCCCGTGTAGTTCTGGGCTGATTCCTCACCGTTGTCATGATCATTGCAACTCCACGAGGTGAGATCTTGCATGGAGCCCCAGGCCGAGGGAGATTGACAGTTATTTTGTGTTTCTTCCATTTGCGAATAATCGCACCAACTGTTGTCACCTATTAAAATTATAGACTGATCATTTCTTTGTCAGTGGGCAAACGTACAAAATCAGCAGGGGATCAAATACTGTTTTCCCTCACTTCATGTAGAACTTCTTTCGCACCGTACATCGGCAACCGTTTTTCGGGGGAAAGACACCAAACGAAACACAAAAAAACTGTTTTAAAGAAATTCGTTTTCAATCTAGATTTTAAAGTGCATAGCTCCAATGTCTTCATAATATGATAACATACACCCATCTGTCGTTCTCTCGTCTTTGTGAGAATGATGAAATACTCTTATGGAGAGAGGGGCCGGAAGATGTTGATTTGGTGGGAATTACGGTTAGGGAATGTGTCAAGCCAGCAAGGCTCACGGGTAGGATGATGATGATAACTTACAGCCTGAGTTCATCCTCGTGACCGTGTTAGTAACGGGGGTTGTTTGGCCATACTTCACCACGCCGGTCAGTGCAAGTTTTGTGAATTTGGGGGGCCAGGATCGGTTCAGATATCACTTGCAATTCATAGGGTAAAAGCCCCATCGTTAACCCCTGCGATAGAATTATTTATTTGGAGAGCTCTGTTTTCCCAGTGTCCAGCCACAGGGCCCATGACCCTCTGAATAAAACGGTCAAGAACTATAAATTCCACGGGCCAAGGTCCTAGCTCATGAACTTGCCAACAGAGTCGCCTGCCAACTCCAAGTCCCTCCGTTTCCACCGCTTTGTTTAAACAGATTGAATATGTATCATGGGGCCATTGTTACCAGTCTCAAAGTATGAAAAAGAAGAATAGGGTTTACCCTTTCGGGCAATAAAACGTGTTAAGATGTTCGAACACCAAATGGGTACCTTTTGCAAGCAATCAGCTGCTCACCCCGAGCTATCAATGCTCTGATACGTGTGGCATTGTCTTTGTGCTGTTCGCCTTTTGGCGTTCTCTGATCTGACCCTGGTGAGACGAGACCATAAAGAAAGCTGTCTCCGGTGTAGGCCAATCCCTTTCAAAGACAATGCATAGATTGTCAGAGGAAAATCTGGATTGAAAACTAATTACTAAAGAACTGCTTTTTGTGTTTAGTTTATCGTCATTCCCTCCACACCTCTGATTTGCACGGTTGACTACGTACGGTGCGAAATAAGTTCAACGTGCTTCCATTCAAACACATTAATTTCACTGCAAATGGAATAGTGTCGCCCATGGTTATTCACTTCCTACATTCTATTCCGGGCCGCGGCTAACATCAGTGGCGAGTGATATCTGAACCAGCCCTGGGCACCCCCCCCCCCATCTTTCAGTGACCCCCACTGACCAGCATGCCGCAGTATGGCCAAATAACCCCAGCATGACGTGGAGGAGACCTTCCAGCAGTAAATGGAGAATGACAGGTGTTTATATTATTATAACACGAGTGGCGATGAAGTGAAGTTTCATTATAGATGTTTGGGTCAGATCGCGTAAGTAAAATGTGTTTCGTACAAAAAAAACCCATCCTCCACCAGACAGGGACAATGAATAAAGTTGTCTCGTGATTAAACGTGGAAATGTATAACTACTTCAGCACACCGGTGCGTTGGAGAGCAATTCCCAACGGTGAGCAATTTGGTATGACATTTCACTGATAGATACAGCCAGCGTCATCAGGCAGTTGTTAGAAAACAATTATCATTTCATGAAATGTATACTTTTATTTT